TAGTGTGTGTGTGTGTAATGTGTGTGTAATGTGTGTGTAGTGTGTGTGTAGTGTGTAATGTGTGTGTAGTGTGTAGTGTGTGTGTAATGTGTGTGTGTGTGTAATGTGTGTGTAGTGTGTGTGTGTAGTGTGTGTGTGTGTAATGTGTGTGTAATGTGTGTGTAATGTGTGTGTGTAATGTGTGTAATGTGTGTAATGTGTGTGTGTGTAGTGTGTGTAGTGTGTGTGTAATGTGTGTGTGTGTGTAATGTGTGTGTAGTGTGTGTGTGTAGTGTGTGTGTATGTGTGTAATGTGTGTGTGTGTAGTGTGTGTAATGTGTGTGTAATGTGTGTGTAGTGTGTGTAGTGTGTAGTGTGTAGTGTGTGTGTAGTGTGTGTAATGTGTGTAATGTGTGTAATGTGTGTGTGTGTAATGTGTGTGTAGTGTGTGTGTAGTGTGTAATGTGTGTGTAATGTGTGTGTGTGTGTAATGTGTGTGTAATGTGTGTGTGTAGTGTGTGTAGTGTGTGTGTGTGTGTGTAATGTGTGTGTGTGTGTAGTGTGTGTAATGTGTGTGTAATGTGTGTGTAATGTGTGTGTGTAATGTGTGTGTATGTGTGTGTAGTGTGTGTGTGTGTGTGTAATGTGTGTGTAATGTGTGTAGTGTGTAATGTGTGTGTAGTGTGTGTAGTGTGTAGTGTGTGTGTGTGTGTGTAATGTGTGTGTAATGTGTGTGTAGTGTGTGTGTAGTGTGTAATGTGTGTAGTGTGTGTGTTGTGTGTAATGTGTGTGTAATGTGTGTGTAGTGTGTGTATAGTGTGTAATGTGTGTGTGTAATGTGTGTAGTGTGTGTGTAGTGTGTGTAGTGTGTGTGTAGTGTGTGTAGAAAAAAGAAAAAAAAAAAAAGTGGGGGGGGGGATGTAGCTCAAAATGTGAAAACAGGAAAATACCGCAGTGTAATCCATTTATTTCAACAAAGTAACTGTAATCCAATTACCACTCACTGAAACAGTAAGTGTAACCAAATACAATTACTCATAATTTGTACTCTGATTACATAACTCCGGTACATGTAATCTGTTACTCCCCGACACTGTTTATAGTTCTGATGCTTCAGTGACAATCCACAGTGTAAATAATCATGAAAATAAAGAAGAAACATACTGTACATGAAAAAGTGTGTCCAACCCTTTGACTGGTCGTGCACAGTGTGAAAGTCCTGCACATATAAACAGTTCACAGGTTTGCCCGTTTGGTATTTGATGGGAACATTTATTATGTCTCAAAATTAGCATTAGCATTTTTTATTTTCTAAACACAACGTTCTTCTTGACTTTATTTGTACTTTTGAACCTGTTTTCAGAGACTTTCACCCACATCTCCTGTGCACGGCCTTATCTTTAAATATTTATCCATTTTAGTACAGCTCTGCAAAAACCACAGAGATAAAACTGAGCAGGAAGTGACGCTCACGCTGAGGGTTGAGCACAGACACGAGTGATTGAAACTTAATGATAAGAGTTCAAATAATATTACTCAAGTAGAAGTGCAGTAAGTAGTGGTCCAAGAAATGACTTGAAGTGCTGTGTAAAATATAAAGTAAAAGTATATATGGACAGTTCTGAATATAGCATTTTCAAAACCATCAAAGATAACACAGTGAGCTGCTGTGAGGAGGAGTCCAAACACAGATCTGACCTGGAACCCCAACGCAGCTGCCCAGAGGAGCCCAGCTCACACTGCTGCAAACACACACATATACACAAATACACAAATATACACATATACACACACACAAATATATTTACCAGTATATTTACCAGGACAAACAGCATAAAGAAATAGAAGTTCTTCAATATCTGGAGGAAAATAAATGTTGTGCATCTTTATTCTGACCTGTTTTATGTGAACTTAGTTGTAATTATGGCATAAAACCAAATAGATATATTCATATGAATATTTAATTAATATTTATTAAAATAAGTCAGAAATTTAAAATTATTTAAAAAACTAACCCTGATGTCCTGGATGTTAGGCGTGTTCTATCAAAAATGACGACTGAATCAATCAATAGGAGGGTTTCAGTCACGTGATCACGATGATGCGCGAATTTCAGGTGGAGGGCAGGAAGTGAAGACAAAACACGACAAACACGGCTCTGGAGAACACAGATATGGAGAACAGTTCTTATTGTAAGGATTTAGAGCCAGTAGCGAGGCAAAAGTACGAGCAGTTAGTCGACAAATATATTGGACGTGACCCCATTTTATTGAAAATGAGAGAATTTTCAACCGAAGTAAAAGATTTGCCAACAATCGAGGCAGAGGAGATCACGAACTATTTAGCTCTTCAGACATCGTTCTACACCAGACAACAGATGAAGGCAAAGTACAAAAGTTTGGAGGCAAACTTTTTTTGTCAGTGGTTGGGTCCTTAACCTTGGTGCAAAACGTCTAAATGATGATTATCGTTTGGTCTTGGCCGGGGTGAGTGTTTCTCTTATTTTATGTGTATCGACTGTTATGGAAAAACTGCAGTGTATCGGCAGTAACCTCTATCTGAACTATTTAATGTCAACAAACGTCGTTCGCCGTTAGTCCTTAATGATTCGTTTATGTTTAGGTAAACCACAAAAAACTATTTAGCTTTGTAACAAACCTTTGACGAAGTGTTCACTGCAGACACGAGCATTAGCGAATTCTGCTCCTCCCGACCGCAAACAGGTTTGTAATCCACTTTTTACGGCGTTGTTCTGTCGGCTTTTCCCATTTCTGACCTTTGTGGACGACTATCTTCGGTACTCTAAAAAAAAATCGCTTTTCCTTCTCTCGGTTAGAACGATTGACACAGCCGTAAACTACACAACACATCGGCATTTTCCTCCAATCAGTTCACTTCCTGCCCTCCATCTGATTTTGCGTAGCCCTGTGACGTCACGTGAAACCCAGATATTAGAATCACAAAAATGCATTCCCTGTCCAATACAAATTCTAATACAGAGCTCTGGGTCAAGTCGCTGCCCCTGACGGCCTACATCTACACAGGACGCCTGAGTTTCCCTCAACCCAGAAATATAAAACAACAACATGAATATGCAAATGATATGTTGAGCAGGTAACGCCTTGAATCGTCCTTGAAGCGTCTTTCTTTCTTTCTTCTGTGGAGGAAGCGACAACCCCCACCAAACCATAGTAAATCACCTCCAAGTCTGTTTAGATAACGCCAGCCTGGATTATCTCCAAAGTCCCAGTTCTGCAAAGGAATTTCCCATTTACCCATTATGTAGGACACACAGTAGTACTTTTCAAAATATATAAGATTTCAGTGTTTAAGCTTCAACTCAATGTGTAACTTCATTAACCAATATTCAAACCACCACTTGATACAGCCTTCACGGATAATACTCCCTACAACTGTACAACAACTCACACATATGTAACAGATAATACTCCCTACAACTGTACAACAACTCACACATATCTAACAGATAATACTCCCTACAAATGTACAACTCAGCCTTATGTAACAGATAATACTCCCTACAACTGTACAACAACTCACAATTATGTAACAGATAATACTCCCTACAACTGTACAACAACTCACACATATGTAACAGATAATACTCCCTACAAATGTACAACTCAGCCTTATGTAACAGATAATACTCCCTACAACTGTACAACAACTCACAATTATGTAACAGATAATACTCCCTACAACTGTACAACAACTCACACATATGTAACAGATAATACTCCCTACAAATGTACAACTCAGCCTTATGTAACAGATAATAATCCCTACAACTGTACAACAACTCACAATTATGTAACAGATAATACTCCCTACAACTGTACAACAACTCACATATATGTAACAGATAATACTCCCTACAACTGTACAACTCAGCCTTATGTAACAGATAATACTCCCTACATCTCTACAGTAATTCACCCTTATGTAACAGATAATAATCCCTACAACTGTGCAAAAACTAAACCTGACGTAACAGATAATACTCCCTACAACTGTACAACTCAGCCTTATGTAACAGATAATACTCCCTACAACTGTACAACAACTCACACATATGTAACACATAATACTCCCTACAACTGTACAACTCAGCCTTATGTAACAGATAATACTCCCTACAACTGTACAACCACTCAGCCTTATGTAACAGATAATACTCCCTACAACTGTACAACAACTCACCCTTATGTAACAGATAATACTCCCTACAACTGTACAACAACTCAGCCTTATGTAACAGATAATACTCCCTACAACTGTACAACAACTCACCCTTATGTAACAGATAATACTCCCTACAACTGTACAGCAACTCAGCCTTATGTAACAGATAATACTCCCTACAACTGTACAATTAATATCCAGCCAAGTTAAAAATACTTGAATTAAGAATGTTTTATCATGATTTGAGTAAATTTACCAGGGGAACAAAACTTTTTGTAGTTAAAATATGAAAATATATCTTGCACTTAAAGCTGCATTGTGTAACTTTTCTGGTGGAGGGTCCAGCAAACGCTTTTCTCCATGGAAATGTTATTGCTTAGTCTGGAATGTTTCAGTGTGGCATTTTATTCAATTATGGGTATTTTTTTAAGCTCAAAAGCACCTACAAATTCTGGCTTTCTGAATGTGTAAAAAAAACCAAAAAAAAACGTCTCGAGTACTACGACACTACGATCTACCCGCACTACCTTGGCGGTGAAAAAAGGGACAAATTCTTTTGAAGTCATTTATTTTATTTATTTATTTTTTATTTTTTTCATAAAATTTAGAGTATATTTACAAACAAATTATTCCAAACATCCACATGTGAAAAGAGACAAAAGCAGTCAATGAATACAATAAAAGATGCTAATGGTGCTAATGATGCTAATAATGTTAATGAAGCTAATAATGCTAAAAATGCTAATAATGCTAAAAAAAATAAAAAAATTAAATTAAATTTTTTTTTTTAAAGCTAATATGCTAAAAATGCTAATAATGGTAAAAATGCTAATAGGGCTAATGATGATAATGATGATAATGGTGATAATGGTGATAATGGTGATAATGAAGCTTCAGATCTGAACCGGTCTCACTCTCAGCCGGGGCTTCTCTCTAGCGCCGCCTCTGGCCCTGACCTGAAACAACAGGACACAGCACAACAACGGGTCAGAAACAGGGACTACACCAGAACTAAACCAGGACTAAACCACGATTAGACCAGCTCTAAACCAGGACTAAACCAGGACTAGACCAGCTCTAAACCAGAACTAAACCAGGACTAAACCAGGACTAAACCAGAACTAAACCAGGACTAAACCAGAGCTAAACCAGGACTAGACCAAGTCTAAACCAGGTCTTAACCAAGTGTAAACCAGGACTAATCCAGGTCTAAACCAAGTCTAAAACAGGTCTAAACCAGGTCTAAACTTGGACTAAACCAGGACTAAACCAGGTCTAAACCAGGTCTAAACCAGGTCTAAACTTGTACTAAACCAGGACTAAACCAAGTCTAAACCAGGTCTAAACCAGGTCTAAACCAGGTCTAGAGTCCGTACCTTGCAGTAGCAGTAGTACTGGGGGAGGATGTACAGGAGCTTCAACAGAAGAATCACCACAACTCTGATGATCAGGTCTGTGTCTGACTCTGCAACACAAAAGAACCAAGATCAGACCAAGACCAGGACCAAGACCAAGACCAGGACCAAGACCAGGGGCCTCATTTATAAAGCTCGCTTCTGCACACATCCTTGCGTACGCGCTCTCTACGCCTACCGCGGGATTTATGAAACTCGCCTTAAGTGTGGCTCTACGCAAAGTCTGGAGACACGTGGAAAAAGCGACACTCGTGGAGAGAAGCACAAGTGAACAGAGTTTGAGAAAGAGTTTGATCAGAAAATCCTCGTATATGAAAGAATGACCTTCAGATTTGTGCATTTTAAGTGTTTGGTTCACAAAACACAGAGAAGAGCTGTTTATTCCACTCATTATTCTCCACAATATTATAAATTTGAAACTCATGCACGACCGCGGCCACGTTCCCGGTGCATCGCAGAGTCTCTCTCAGTCCACACCGAGACCATAGACTCCTATAGAACACAGACTGTGACCAACACAGAGGAGGAAATAATGACCCAGGCTTTGATTTAATGAACGCAACTTTAACACTTTTAATTTAGTCTTTATGCACTGAGCGCCAGAGTGGCCCGAGTCTGCGCACGACATGAACCCTACTGTCCGAACCTGACCCCAACCCTAAATATTCCCTACATTTTTGTGTAATGGGGAACTCTGGCAAATGAGAGCTGCTCTCTGACACTATGAAGAACAGAATAATGCCCATGCCCGCCCCGACCCAGGCCTATACTCACAGAGGTCAGACCCACACTCACAGAGGTCAGACCCACACTCACAGAGGTCAGACCCACACTCACAGAGGTCAGACCCACACTCACAGAGGTCAGGCCCAGACCCCCACTCACAGAGGTCAGACCCAGGCCCACACTCACAGAGGTCAGGCCCACACTCACAGAGGTCAGGCCCACACTCACAGAGGTCAGACCCACACTCACAGAGGTCAGGCCCACACTCTCAGAGGTCAGACCCAGGCCCACACTCACAGAGGTCAGACCCCACACTCACAGAGGTCAGACCCACACTCACAGAGGTCAGACCCAGGCCCACACTCACAGAGGTCAGACGCACACTCACAGAGGTCAGACGCACACTCACAGAGGTCAGACCCAGGCCCACACTCACACAAATCGGCAGATCTTTACTGCAAAGATGTGCTGCATAAATATTATGAAATATTATTAAATGAACAGATGAGTCGTTGTTGTCACTTTTACTTTTGTATTTATTTGTTAAACCTTGTTTAAGTCTTTGATGTGTCTGTGTATATATGTGTGTGTATGTGTGTGTGTGTCTGTGTCTGTGTATATATGTGTGTGTATGTGTGTGCGTTTGTGTGTGTGTGTATATGTGTATATATGTATGTGTGTGCGTTTGTGTGTACCTCCCACAGAGAGCTGGAGTGTGTGGCTCTGAGAGGAGAAGCTGTGGTTGAACACCTGCAGGAGGTAAACACAGGTGTAGTTTCCTTTGTGGGCGTGGTCAGCGTCAGAGAACAGGAAGTGGGCGGAGTGATTGACGGCGGGCAGGGTGCGGTTCTGAGCGGGGGGCGCGGCGGGAGAGAGGAGCCGGAAGGAACCTCCCGGGTACTGTGGCTCCACGGAGCATTTGACCCTGAACTTGGAGCCCAGCTGCACCCGCAGCCCCTGAGGCTGGAGCTCGGACGCCCCGTCACTCACAGACATGGAGATGACTGGACGATTCAGCAACTCTGTGGAGACATGTGATTGGACAGATCAGTCTGTGTGTGTGTGTGTGTGTGTGTGTGTGTGTGAGTGGGTGTGTGTGTGTGTTTGAGAGACATAATAATGTAAGATCAGACTTTTACCTGAACACATCACCTCCAGACCCTTAGAGGAAGTGAAGGATGAACTATAGACACATTCTCTCAGTGAAGACTTGTTCACACAGTCAGATGTGACCCACCACACAGGACTCATTGGAAAATCATCTCTCTGTACCCCATAAACAGCAGAGCCACAGTCCAGGACTCTGCAAACACCAGATATGTGCTCCTGGACCCAGTCTCCATAGAGCACCACTCGTCTCCACTCTCCTCTGAGTATCACCTCCACAGTCCCAGCACAACGATTGGCTCTTCCCACCAACCTGAGCGGCTCTGAACAGACAAGAGAGAGAGTGAAGCCCCGCCCCTTTACCTGAGCACTTTAGTCCCGCCCCTTTACCTGAGCAGGTGAGGTTGACAGTGGCTCCAGAGGAGCAGGTGCTTGAGTTGGAGCGGGGACAGTCCATCAGAGCAGACTCATGGCCCTCACAGTGGAACGTCTGCCCCAGAGGAGAGAGCGCCCCCTGGAGGAGAGAAGGAGCCCCACAGCCCAGCTCCCTGCACAGCACCTCTGCCCCCCGCTGGTCCAAGTCCCTGTCACAGACCCCGGTCCAGGACCCATTCCAAATCTGCAATGATCCTGAGCACAGACCGGACCCCGAGACCAACCGCACTGAGTCTGTGGACACATGTGTGACATCATCACTCTGAACCAATAGGACGCACACATGTGTGACATCATCACTCTGAACCAATAGGACGCACACATGTGTGACATCATCACTGTAGTGCAAATTTTTATCAGTGGTAAATATAGATATTACTGTTGTGAGGTGTGTGTGTATGCATTTGTGTGTCTGTGTGTATATGTGTGTGTGTGTGTGTGTGCGTGTGTGTGTGTGCGTGTGTGTGTGTGTGTGTATGTGGGTGTGTGTGTGTGTGTGTGTGTGTGTGTGTGTGTGTGTGTGTGTGTGTGTGTGTGTGTGTGTTTGAGAGACATAAAAATGTAAGATCAGATCAGACTTTTACCTGAACACATCACCTCCAGACCCTCAGAGTAAGAGAAGGATGAACTATAGACACATTCTCTCACTGAAGACTTCTTCACACAGTCAGATGTGACCCACCACACAGGACTCTCTGGAAAATCATATCTCTTTTCTCCATAAACAGCAGAGCCACAGTCCAGGGCTCTGCACACACCAGATATGTGCTCCTGGACCCAGTCTCCATAGAGCACCAACCGTCTCCACTCTCCTCTGAGTATCACCTCCACAGTCCCAGCACAACGACTGGCTCCTCCCACCAACCTGAGCGGCTCTGAACAGACAAGAGAGAGAGTGAAGCCCTGCCCCTTTACCTGAGCAGTGAAGCCCCACCCCTTTACCTGAGCACTTTAGTCCCGCCCCTTTACCTGAGCAGGTGAGGTTGACAGTGGCTCCAGAGGAGCAGGTGCTTGAGTTGGAGCGGGGACAGTCCATCAGAGCAGACTCATGGCCCTCACAGTGGAACGTCTGCCCCAGAGGAGAGAGCGCCCCCTGGAGGAGAGAAGGAGCCCCACAGCCCAGCTCCCTGCACAGCACCTCTGCCCCCCGCTGGTCCAAGTCCCTGTCACAGACCCCGGTCCAGGACCCATTCCAAATCTGCAATGATCCTGAGCACAGACTGGACCCCGAGACCAACCGCACTGAGTCTGTGGACACATGTGTGACATCATCACTCTGAACCAATAGGACGCACACATGTGTGACATCATCACTCTGAACCAATAGGACGCACACATGTGTGACATCATCACTGTAGTGCAGATTTTTATCTGTGGTAAATATAGATATTACTGTTGTGAGGTGTGTGTATTTGTGTGTAGGTGTGTGTGTGTGTGTGTGTGTGTGTGTGTGTGTGTGTGTGTGTGTAGTATATTTGTATGTGTGTTGGGGTGTGTGTGTGTGTGTGTGTGCGCAGGTGTGGGTGTGTGTGTGTAGTATATTTGTATGTGTGTTGGGGTGTGTGTGTGTGTTTGAGAGACATAAAAATATAAGATCAGACTTTTACCTGAACACATCACCTCCAGACCCACAGTGGAAGAGGAGTATGAACGATACACACATTCTCTCACTGAAGACTTCTTCACACAGTCAGATGAGACCTCCCACACAGAACTCTCTGGAAAATCATCTCTCTGTTCTCCATAAACAGCAGAGCCACAGTCCAGGGCTCTGCACACACCAGATATGTGCTCCTGGTACAAGCGTCCATAGAGCACCACCCGTCTCCACTCTCCTCTGTGTATCACCTCCACAGTCCCAGCACAACGACTGGCTCCTCCCACCATCCTGAGCGGCTCTGAACAGACAAGAGACAGAGTGAAGCCCCGCCCCTTTACCTGAGCAGTGAAGCCCCACCCCTTTACCTGAGCAAACACACTCCTCTCAGTGAGGAGGTTGTGGGTTCTACTCCTGGTCTGTGTGAGTGTGTCAGGAAATAATGCACAAACAGCGTATAATTTAACAGTATCAGTCTGCAGTAACCTCCAGCTGACTGTGGATTAGATCACCTTGGTCAGAAAAATCAGTGCTCGAG